GAATGAATTTGATTTGGAGTATTTCCAATAAAACTTAAAAACATATTAATTCCAGCTGTACATAAATAACTATGGCATTTTGGGTCAAAATAAAACAACTCCCCAATCACGTTAAACACAAATATTGATTTCTTTATTTCTCTCCATCGGTAATATACTATAAAGTAAATAATATTGCAACAATTCGAATCGTTCCTCACCGTTTACTCGTAAAAGTAGTGACAATTTCCACCCGAAATCACAAACACACCAAAATTACATTCGATTTCATCCCCAAAATAATAAAAAGTGCAGCCATTGAAATAAAAACTGTAAATTCAGGCGGTTTTTTAGGACAACTAAAGAATTAGTAATATAAATCCCTTAGGTAAATTATAAAAATGTAATTTTTTGCGGCATTTTCGCCATGACTAGTATTATAAACAATTGTATATACTTTCCTGACTGTGTTTCAATTCCAAATCAATTTTATTCCTGGGTTTCAGTCATTTATTGTCTCTATTTATCAATCGAAATACACCGAAACACATTTTGATTGATAAATAGAGACAATAAATGACTGAAACCGAGGAATGAATTTGATTTGGAATTATAAACAATGTTTGATAATGGCATTTGCCATCTTTTAGGTCAGCAGATTTAACAAAAAAATCACCAATTAATCCACTTGCTTAATAAAAATAAGAAAAATCGCTCTAGTTGCTACATAATTCGACCTTAAAAAAAGGAAAAAAGGAAGGACATTTTACATGCAAACATCAATTTCGATCCCAGTTTTACAGGACAAAATCAAATATTAGTCCAGGAGTATAGCGGCCATTATCACAAAACAATAAATAAGACGTATTTCGTCCAGTCCTGATACTTTTTCGACATGCAGGAAGTGTGATCTGGCATTAGTTAAAGCAAGCCACTCGGCATTTCTAAAGAGGCATTTAGATAAAGCATTAATTTTCTTTATTACTCAAGTTATTCAATAATTAAGAAAATTACCTTTTGGATATACTACTGGAACGACTTAAATTTCCGAAGAATATATAGTGTTGTTCAGTACATTTCATTACTATGCAAATATAGACTTTTTGATAAAATTCGGAAACTAATTATTTTCTCATTTGAGTGCCCTCTTTAGAAACACGCGAGCATTTTTTAGATCAGAGAACCCCTTAATTTAACTACATTCATATTTTCTAAATATAAATAACTTCTTTAAAGATTTGCAATTCCGCATTACAATAGTTACAATCTACTCGTGTGCACAATTTAAGAACGAACGCGATTGACTTCTCACCATCAGACAAAATAGAATGGTTCATTCTACAATAGCTAGTTGAACATACATCATTTATGTATAACATGTCAATATATTAGCGCACAATTTAACGAATACCAGTATAAAGACTGAGAACACTGCGGGTTTCCTTTTGCGATCGGGCTTTGCTAAATACGTTCCAAAATCGCAACGTTTCGTCGCCCGCCCCCGTCACGATAGCTTCCCCATCAGGGCTCAGCGCTAAATATAAAACTCTGTAGGAATGTCCAGTCAGTTTTGCCACTTGCGTTAAACTGGGGTATTTCCACACTAAAATTTGATTCTGCGAATAGCCGTGAGTCGAAACTAGTTCCGAACTGTGTTTGGACCAGGCCAGGTTACAAACTTGAGAACCTGAAAGAAAAATTAAGATCTTGCATTAGAAGCAAATCAAATTCATTCCTGGGTTTCAGTCGTTTATTGTCTCTATTTATCAATCAAAATACGTTTCGGTGTATTTTTCCACCATCATCAGTTTTTATGTGTAGCGTTGTTGCTGCTTTAAG